GTACTACTAATTAACTAATAGATAGTATTTGATTAATTAATATTCTAATAAATGTTGATGTGTGATTACTTCATAGTTGATGATCTTAATTCTTAATGTGGTTTTCTATCAGTTGAAGGATGAAAATGGAAAGCTTTTGGGTGTTGATATTCAGAATCTTTTGATTGCCAATTCTGGTAATGATTTACCGGTAAGACACTGAAATGATTTTTTTTTTTTTTTTCAATTTTTTTTTTTGATTAGTTGCTTCATGGTTTGATTATGTGTTTGTTGATTCGTTGAGTATAATTGATAATTTGATATGACAGGTAATTGATCTTGCCAGCGTGTCACAAGAGCTTGCATACCTGGCAAGTGATGCTGACCTGGTAATTTGTGAAGGAATGGTGAGTCCTTTTCTATTATTTTTTAACCATACGCAGATAATGACCTTTTTATCCCTGACTGTATAAATTCAGTATTCATAGGGAAAGCTGGAAGTAATTCAATTCCAGTCTTTCTTTTTCATTAAAAGACAAGAGTATGAATAATTGAATACCCTCATTAAGTATATAATAGTTAAAGACCAAAATACCCTCGTTCTTCCATTTGCAGAAGGATTCTGATTATGATTTGCAATGTTATTATAATGGCTTGGCAGGGTCGAGGAATCGAGACAATCTTTATGCTCAATTTAAGTGTGATTCCCTCAGATTGGAATGGTAATACTAATTATTAATTAGTTGGATTCTTGATTCTTGTGTTGTTCAATTCTTTTTTCCTTTTGGTTTTGGTTATTAATATTAATTAATAGTTGAAATGTTGGAATGAATGAATGAAACAGGTGAAGCATCAAGAGGTTGCCCAGTTCCTTGGTGGGAGGCTGTACGATTGTGTATTCAAGTTCAATGAAGTTGCAACTTGTTGATTTAATTCTTTCTGAAAACTATAAAATATATAACTTTGAGAGGAGGAAGTGTAGTAGTTTGTACTCTGTAGATGATGACACACACAATGAATCTGGTGTCTTTTTTTTTTTGCCTAACCACTTTCTTAGTTCCAAAGAATATTTTGATAAGTGGGAAGTGTAGGTGATGTGAAAATTAAATTGGTTCCTAATTAATGCTCCTACATATTCAATAATTGTCGTGTGTAAAATACTAATTCTTTTTCCTCGTTTTAGCTTTTGATTTTGACACTTGTGATGATTTTGTAAGTGGCTCGTCTTAGCTTTTGATTTTGACACTTGTAATGATTTTGTAAGTGGGACGATAAGAACATTTAGTAGGATGATATTTAACCTCATAATGATATACTAAAATAAAAAGTATTATAATTTAGAAGAGAAATTATAGTGTCACTTATTTTTTATGCCTACAAATATTTATACCCATTAAAATTATGACAAATATCATAATTTCACCATTTTTTTTTTAAATTATCTCTTTAAGGGTATATTAGTGTAACACCCAGTTTCAGATGTTTCTTAAATTTAGGGTTTGTGGGTCGTAACTCAATCATGTAAATGATTTGGACTTTAAGGAAGTAAAATTTAAACCTTAGTAATGATTGATAATATTGGTTATGAGATCTAAGCCCTTGATTCGTATGTTGAAACCAAAAGGTAGAAAGGGAAAAATTCTAGGTAAGGTTTCTTGCATGGATTAGCATTTTAGTTCGGCATGTTTTAAGCCAAAGGTAACTAGATAGAAAGCCTCAAGCTTTTCCGCTTGGCGAGTTACGTCGTTTGTAAGACGTGACTTAAGTGCGGCAATTTTGCATATAATTCATATTTTTATATGTATTTTCAACTATTATTTATTTTTTATACACATATATAAGTCAAGGCGGCGTTTTGGTAAAGCTTGGCGGCACATACAAGACTTGGAGTCATGGCGCGCCATGGCAGAGCCATGACGAGCTTTTTAGAACCTTGGTATATATAAAGAGTGTCGAAATCGGAGTTGAAACTAAGAAGTTATGGTTGTTTGAAGTTGAGCAGGAAGATATAAGTTTTGCCCTACGCAAGCATAGTGGCTGATGGAGGAACACGTCTTTAATGATCTACACATGGCGTAAATCTTGCTACGCAGGGTGTAGTCACTACTGACCAAAACCCTATTAAGGAGTTGTGAACGCTATTTAAAGGCTTTAATCCCTTGGTAGCCTTCCCATGCTTAGCCTCCACCCTCTTTGACACCCAACTCGAAAACCTAATCTCGTTGAGGTAGATTTGAGTCTTCTAGGTGTTTTGTAGTGCCTTTTGAAGGAGAAGCCCATCTTTAAAGCTTGGTGAAGCTTAAGCTTGTAGATTCAGAGCCTTCATTTCATTTTCCAACTCTAGAAGGTATAAAGCTTTCACCTTGATGGTTCATTGAGTTAATTCTTGTTAGCTTCTTGGTTTTCATGCTTATTGTCCAGTGATTTTGGTTCTTGTGAGTATGAGCTACTTCGGACCTTAGGGTTGCTATTTCTTGATGTTTTTGAGGTTGATATCTCATAAAAATGGGATCTTGGTTGTTGTCTTTCACCTATGCAAGAGTTTTTGGTCATTAGAGGATGTTATGGGACTAGGATCTGATCTTGAGCTCCATTTAGCCATGCAAAGGCATAAAGTTGGAGACTTTATTACTTAAGATGTTTATTAGGACTAGATCAGAGCAATAGATGGTTGGTCTTTACAGATTAAGAGCTAAAAATGGAAATGACTTAACAACGTACTACACATGGCGTAAATTGGACTACACCCAATGTAGCCTAATGGTTCCCCGATCTTTCCATCAAAGACCCTACGCAATGCATAGAGCATGGTGTACGCAATATATACCACCAGAGAGTGTAATTGGTTAAAATTAGACTTTTGTCAAGATGAGTGGGGTCTAGCCTTGAAAGGGTAAAATGGTCTTTTACCCTAGAAAGAGAAAATGTAATTAGGACCCCTGATTATGAATGACCACCTTAATTGTTAATTAGGGTTTGGTTTTGGATATGTTTAGTGGGAGGGGTTTTAGCACTGGAAGCTCGTGTGTGAGATCAATTCGTTAAACCGATCGAGGTGAGTCTTCTCACTACACTGCAGGACACTAGGTATCGTCATGTGCTTGTTTTCTTTTTGACTATTGCTTATATGCTTGTATGCTATATGTATGTGGTGTGAAACAGACCTAGTGTCACAACTAGAAATTTTGTGTCTTGTAATCACTAAACTCAAGTAAAGGTTGAATCAAAAACTTAAGAGCATGTGTGATACCTATTATTATGACATCAAAAACTTCAAACAAATACATCGTACAAGTACTACAAATGGTCATCAAGAAATTGGAAACCCTAGAAGTTCTCGTTTAAGTCCATTTTGGACTGGGACTTCCTTATTGGGCCCAAATGGACCAATAAGCTTCCAATTTGACTTTCATGGGATTAGAACTCTTATATGGGCTCTAATTGGACCCAACGTGGTAGCTGACGCATTAAGTCGGAAGGAGTACTCTAATCGTCGTACGAAAACTCTCTCCATAACCATTCAATCTCACCTGGTCACTCAAATTGCAGTAGTCCAGTAAGAGGCCATGAAGACGGAAAATAGAGCAAGCGAAGCATTGCGCGGAATGGAAAAGAACCTGGAGGCAAAGGAGAATGGAGTATACTATTTCATGAACCGTATCTGGGTCCCTAAACTTGGAGGGTTTAGAGATGTTGTTATGAAGGAAGCCCACAAGACGCGATACTCCATTCATCCCGGTTCAGACAAGATGTACTTGGATATTAAACAACACTATTGGTGGCCTAACATGAAGGCGGAAATTGCAACCTACGTTAGTAAGTGCCTTATGTGCGCCAAGGTAAAGGTGGAGTACCAGAAACCCTCAAGATTGTTACAGCAACCGGAAATCCTGGAGTGGAAATGGGAGGGGATTTCTATGGATTTCGTGACCAAGCTACCCAAAACATCGGATGGATTAGACACCATATGGGTAATAATCGACCGACTGACGAAATCTGCCCATTTCCTGCCAATTAAAGAATCGTACAAGATGGAGAGATTGACGCGTTTATACATTCGAGAGATCGTGAGACTCCACGGAATACCAATATCTATCATCTCGGATAGGGACAGTAAGTTCACATCACGATTTTAGCAATCACTCCATAAGGCGATGGGAACAAACCTCGACATGAGCACCGCTTATCACCCACAAACGGATGGTCAAAGCGAGCGAACCATCCAAACGCTCGAAGACATGCTCCGCGCATGCGTGATCGACTTTGGGAAGTCTTGGGATACCCACCTACCCTTAATCGAGTTCTCATACAACAATAGTTATCATTCGAGCATCAAGGTGGCTCCTTTCGAAGCACGTATGGGCGCAAATGTAGATCACCGTTATGTTGGGTCGAAGTAGGTGACACCCAGCTAGCAAAAACGCATACATCAGACAAAGCACTAACGGGACCGGAGATCATTCGCGAAACCACGGAAAAGATCGTTCAAATCAAAGCTCGATTGCAAGCATCGCGTGACCGACAAAAGAGCTACGCCGATAAGCGGCGAAAGCCCTTAGAATTTCAGGTCGGTGATCGAGTACTGTTAAAAGTCTCGCCCTGGAAAGGAGTTATTCGTTTTGGGAAGCGGGGAAAACTAAACCCACGGTACATTGGACCTTTCGAAATCGTCGCCCGAATAGGTCCGGTAGCATACATACTACAAATACCCGCAGAGCTAAACGGTGTACACCCCATGTTTCATATCTCTAATCTGAAGAAGTGTCTATCAGATGAAACACTCATCATTCCCCTTGACGAAATCGAAATCAACGAGAATCTCCTATTCGTTGAAGAACCAATTGAAATCATGGACAGGGAGGTGAAGCGTACTAAGCAAAGTCGCATCCCGATCGTGAAAGTACGGTGGAACGCAAAGCGTGGGCCAAAATGCACGTGGGAACGCGAAGACCAAATGAAGCAAAAGTACCCTCACCTATTCTAGCATTCTCAAATCTAGCTTTCAAACAGAATTTCAGGACGAAATTCCCTCTAACGGGGGGATGATGTCACAACTAGAAATTTTGTGTCTTGTAATCACTAAACTCAAGTAAAGGTTGAATCAAAAACTTAAGAGCATGTGTGATACCTATTATTATGACATCAAAAACTTCAAACAAATACATCGTACAAGTACTACAAATGGTCATCAAGAAATTGGAAACCCTAGAAGTTCTCGTTTAAGTCCATTTTGGACTGGGACTTCCTTATTGGGCCCAAATGGACCAATAAGCTTCCAATTTGACTTTCATGGGCTTAGAACCCTTATATGGGCTCTAATTGGACCCACATTTATTTATTTCAATATTTTGGGCCATGTTGGGCCTAGAATGAAATGAATTAAAAGCTTTGATCCATGATTAACCTAAACTAGCCCAACAAAGTATAAAAATCATATTATATTTTTTTAGGTTAAAAACTCATCTACTTAACCTTTACATGGGCTTGAGGGCATTGAAGCCCAAATTTTCTTTTTCCTTTCACATTCTCGGCCCAAGGCCCAAGTCCAAGAAGAAATGAAGAGAGTTGACTTGTAATTGACACCTCATTATTGTCTTTTGGATCTCCATGCAACCCATTCCATGTTTCCATGCATATCACCTCAAGGGTCTATTTCTCTCTTCTCTCACTCACTCTCGGCCGAAACACACACACACACAAATCTCTCACAAACTCTCTCTAGAATTCTCAAGGAACAATCCTCCCTCCTCCTTCAAAATTTTCGTGAATCAAGAGCTTCACAAGGAGAATCCATCACCAAAATCATTATCTAGGTAAGTTAATGCTTGGATCCATGCTTTGGACTCTTTCTTGTCTCCAAAAATCTCTTCTTAACTCTCATGAAATCATAAACTTGTGTCTTAGAACTCCACAAACTCGAAATCTTCATCAAGGGTGCTAGGGTCAAAAATCACCAAGCTTTCTTCCATCCTTTCTTCAAAAACCGAATCAACATCCAAAGGTGAGCTTCATACCCCCTTATTTTCGGTTTTTATAAGTTTTTGTGGGGGAGAATACAAGCAAAGGTGTAGATCTATCATTATGTGTATGCTTTGTATGATTTCTATGCTTATATGTGTGTTTGGTATGATT